TTTTGACTGTGATTTTAAGTGGAATTTCTTGTAGTCACAACAAACTAACCAAAATATTTTTATTTATCATTTTAAGATAGGAAAAGTAGTATTTTCTATACTTAATAAATGCAAACTGAAGTATAACATGAAAATGACTATGCAAACCTATTTCAAAACTTGAGCTCCCTACAGAAATAAATTCTCAAAATTCAAAAGGTTTCATAAAAACATCAAGCCATTGATACACCAAAAGCTCACCCACCCACTCCTGCAAAGCAGATAGATGATGTTTAAAAAATAATTGCAATTCCTCCTGGAAGGAAGACATGTTTTTCAAAGTAAGACAGTGTACACATGTTGCCAGGACCGTCTTAAGTGAAGAAGCAGTATCCCCATTCGCTTCAGGATTACCAGTTTGCCGGCATTAAGCCAGGGTAAAACCGGTTTCGACTCAATGCAGGCACGGCAGCCCCTGCCCCAGCTGAGACTATCTGAAAACACGCTTATTAACAGTACAAAGCACGCTACCAAAAATCAGGCAGACCCACGCCCCGGCTGCCGGCAGGAGGCATGTGGTGTGCGGGCAGCACCCAGGACCCGCAAACATCCCACCAGCACGGCGGGAGGGTCCTGCACACCAACTTCGTCCCTGCCCAGGCTGCAGAAGCCAGCCCACATCCTCACTCTCCCTCTCTTCTTTCTCTTCTCTTCTCTTCTCTTTTTTTTCCTGCTCCCCCCAAAGGACGGGACACAGTCTGGTGATTCAGGGACTCATGTAGGCCAGGCTTCCTTCTGTGCAGCCCTTTGGGTAGAGCTGCTAATCCTTTTTACTAATTAATGAGATAATAGCAGTTAACCGGAAAGCAATATTAATGCTAACTATCTAGGAAACTTCCAACAGAAATTATTTAGTCTTTTTGCTAATTTCCTGGTAACAAAGTCATGCAGCTGGAACGGTAGCAGCATCTTGATGGTTTCAGAACTTAAAAAAACCAAGAGTGCCTGAACAGTGTCAGATCAAGGACATCTGCATTTATTTTCCACCCTCTTTTTCGGATAGTTTAAAAGATCCTCCCTCGACTTCAGAGTTTATTAACAGCTGGGGATGCGGGCTCCCCCAGTTATATCACTCTTACAAAAGGACAAAGGAGAGTGTAAACAGTAAAATAACTGATCTGAGAAATGTACTCTGAGAGGCACATGCATTAAAACCATTTACAAATGTTTATCATTTACATGTACCATTGCTTCAGTCTTTTAAGCTTCCAAAGCATTTCTCAGGGTCTACTGTGTTTCATTCAGTATGTGCTGAAATACCTAACATCAAGTTTGCATTTTATTTATGCTGCAAAAAGCAACAGAGATGATGCAGGGATTAGGAATTCTGCAGATGACACACACTGCTGTAGATATTTTATGTTCTAGAAAAAGCAGCAAAGCATTTTTTTTTTTAATTAGCCATTGTAAGAGTAAGTAAAACATCTATCAGAAGAAGGGATTTATATTATCTGGGTTCTGTTGCAGCAAACAAGTACTGCAGCTTTCATTCACTGATTGTCAAAAACTTTCCAATGTGCCCACTGCAATGCGGACGCCAACCAACGAATCAAAGGCATTCAGCAACGAGACAAAGAGGGTCTGATGCCAACCTCGGTGCCACTGGCAACCATTATTGGCATCAAGCACATTGTCTGCCTTTTTTTCCCCCCTCTCCTGGCACTCGACAAACAAAATGGCGGTTCTTGTAGCAACGGGAACGCAGCATAAGCGCTGCACTGAATCAAATACCATTAAATGATTTTATGGACTGAGATGTGTTTCATACCAAAGGATAGACACTCTGTGATGCCCAGTGAGAGGGGTGGGGGGGGAGGCAGTTCTGTCAATAGAAACAACATTAATGCCATTTTCAAGGTTTGGGTTTTTTAAAAACTCCTGTGGGGGACCTGATACACACAACAAGCAGACCTTGTAGAAGTTATGATTAAGAATTACTTTGATGTTAAACATTGATCACAGTGTGTACTTGCCATTTTCTTCTTCCATTTCAGCCAAAGGAACAGCATTGAAACTAATTTATTTTTCTTTTTTTTTTTTTTTTATTTTTTTTTTGGAAGAGAGTGAAAAAGAAGGAGGAGGGGGGGGGGGGAGGGGAAGATGCAGAATTCTGAAGGACATGAGTGAAAAGTAGAACCCGATGAAGTTGGTCAATGACAGAACTTCATAGGTCGGTCCTTATTTCTTCTTTCAAGGCAGGCATGGAAGTAGAAGCTCTTTTTATTAAGAACTGAAAGGATTATTGACACTTCTAGATCTGGAAATTGTCAATATATTGTAACATTACGCTGCACTGCAATGCGGATGCCAACCAACAAATCACAGGCATCCTAGGCTAAACAAAGAAGGTCTGATGCCAATCCTGGTGCCACTGGCAACCATCACTGGCACTCGAACTATCCTTCCTCCTCTTTTTTCCCCCTAATCTTCTTTTTAAAAGCAACAAAATAAAACAAACTACTTGGCTCCTTTATGCATTTTTTGTGCTAATTCCTTCTTCATATTTTGTTCAGGGATTTAATTGTTTCTACATCTCCGCTTAGTTTTTACATTATACTATTAGGCAGGTTTATATATTCCAAAAGAGAAATAAAAAGCAAAACACCATGTGTATAATGCAGCATTTTGGTTGACTACACGCTTATCTTTTGCAACGCCTGGTGCTCTCAATCAAGTGCACTACAAAGTGCCACAATTAACCTATTTTCAATGAGGACAGAGAATCAAAGTTTGACAAAATGGGAAAAAAAATGCAAAGATAACTTAATATGGCTTCTTCAAGAAGAGAGCCAACAGATGTTACTGGAAGATTTACTGTGAAGCAGCAAGATAGATACAAAATACATGCAGTTTAGAATAAACAAAAGGGTCTACTAAGGGTGACTTGGCACATAGAAATTAGCCAGTTCCATCTTCCAGTATATTCTCAAAGTAGCACTGTGTAACTTTGAAAGTTATAATATTACAGCATGCTTATCTTACTCATTTCTGATTAGACAAATGTTTTAAATAAACTCATATTCTCAATCCATTTAAATCAATAAAATCAGCTATGCCCTGCAATTCCTTCTGACACTTCAAGTTACTGGCTTCCAACAACTAAAAGTCGACAGTGTGTAAGAGTACTCTGACCCCAGCTGCTTCAGCTCAAGAGCTACTTAAACTGTTTTGCCTCCCTTTGTAGTTTTGACTTTTAGAGACAGGTAAATCCATTAGAATTAATCAGTAAGCTATGTCTTGCCATATATGCATTCAAAATACTATTTGATTTTTTCTTCACAAAAGGAGTTTAAAAGTACAAATTATTCATAATTAAGTTATTTTGTTTAATGCTATCAAAGAAATCTTTCTTCCTATGTTAGCGGGGATCAGATTTTCCAGACTCTGCAGCAACATAAAGTTGCTGCAAAATATCCAAGTGTGGTCTACTGCTGTGGAGACAAAAACACAAAAAATACAAACAGGGGAAAAAAAATATATTTTCATGATGAATAATAAAAAAAATTGAACCCCATTTATATGTTCACATAAATATAATGCTCTACTTGCGTGCTTGCATGAGTAAATACTAAAAGGTAAATTCACTGAAAACAAAAAGGTTATGTCATATATCTGTTCTTTTAAAGAACGAGTACACACCAAATGAAGACGTGCAATTTTACTTTTTTGTTACTAACAAAATCCGTTCCATTTGATTTTCAGTTAAACCCCGCAGTTATGTTTCAGGCATCAGATAACAGCCTACCATTTGCCCTTCAGCAGGCCATTTCTGCCTACTCCCAGGCCAAGTGGTGAAAGGGCCCACCATCTGCGGCGGGTCAAACTTTCCCTAGTTCAGATCTGTGGCTGAAAAGGAAACGCTTTATTACTACTGATCAGTCAGCAATACAAACACATCCTGAGGATGCTATAATCACCAGAAAGAACCAAAATGACCCCTCACAGAGAAAAAAGCATTTCAGAAGGCTTAGTATCAGAGGAAAAAAAAAAACTTTACCTACTTAGAGACATTTACAATTTCACGGAACTTGCCTATGAGTATTGATATCTGAATATGAAAAATGACTAGCAGTTTTTTCCCTGATACATGATTACAGAAGCCCTGTTTTTATTTTTATTCTGTAAAACTGAGTTTAAGAAGCTTTTCCATCGTGTTCCTGCAATTTTCCACACTCCAATCATCTTTCAAATAAAATTAAGTATACTAGGGTGATTGTGAAAATACAATTTTCATGGAAAATTCTACTGATATATTACAACCTGGATCTTTGCTTTAAAGCTTAGATAGGTAAGATGAGCTACTGATACAACATATGAATAAAATGTTAAGTACTGCATGCTGTAATTCTGCCTACATATGGTATTTACAAAGCAGTATTTCTGTGTTAGAGGTTTTTCATGTTTTATTTTATAGATGTGAGAAAATCTACAATTGCTCTTCAAGGTGAAGAGTTTAAGGATGAATTATTGATTATCTGTAACTACAAAGACAGTAATAAATATTTGTATTTTTATACATTTATTGTGATTGTGTAATTGCACATACCTGCGTCTGTTACTAGCAGTATTGAGGGAATTAAAATAAAATAAAATGAACTTGAAAAATAAAAAGAATGTTGTCTGAAGTTACAACTGGAAAAACTACAGCAAATATTGCTACTTTCTGACAAAAAAAAAGGCAACTTCAGCGGAACTGAAGTACTATCTTTTTATGTCCCCCTCTCTCTTGAAAGAGAACAAGGCATGTATGTCAAACATGCATGTCATTTACACAGGTCTGTAGGAATGTGTGTGTGTAAGTATATACGTAGACATGCTGATTTACATATGGATATGTACCCACATTATGCCTACAGACCACAGAATAATGTTTCACTGGAAGCCAGCCCATAGGGGAAACAGAGCTACCTGGAGTCAGGGTTTGACATACTAACACAGAAACATGACAATCTGCTTCCTACCTTGCTCCTGCACGTAGTATGCCAAAAACAAATCAAGCTCCTTGACTGATACTGTTATGTGATGTGGCTGGACGCAAAGTGCTGGATTTGTGCAATGAGGGGATTTCATGAGCCGCTCTCCATCCGTACTTTCCAAGGGGATGCCTTTGAACAGGATCACCATGACTAGATCCAGACGCCAGACTTTGTCAGCCTGTCGCAGGCAGTCGATTCTCCTAATCTTACCCTTCTGGTCAGGATTGGACAATACACAGCATGGGTGCTTCTTCCCAGTCACTGTGAGCACAAAATCCTCCCGGAACTCTTGCCGAATATCTTTGCGCAGCTTGGCCAGGAGCCTGGATGCCCACTTCTGTTTAATTTCAGGCTTTTCGCTAAGTAGCTCATCCTTGACTGCTCTTTCCTCATCCTTTGACATTCGTTTCTCATGTTTTTTAAAGTACTTGCGTTTTCGAGCCTGAAGGTTGAACCAAGTATAGGCAATCGCACGGACATGTGGAAGAAGTGCCTCAATGAACGGGTGAAATTCATCCTGTGGAAAGAAGTGGAGGAAAAAAAAGAAGAGAAGAACAAAACTCAAAGTCAGTAAGTTCTCATAATGCAAGCAGTATCAAGAAAGGTTTATGAAATCTTAAACTGAAATCCAAGATGAAGAGAATAAACACTTAAAAATTACACAAATTTCTGCATAACACCTTTTAAGCAATTACTACTGCTGTCAGGCAGCAGGCAAAAAGTACAGAGAGAATCGCATTTTCCCCATATTTCACTCTTTGAAAGAACCACGTGAAGATTTTATTTTGTATGCCTCCCCTCACTTCATCCCGCAACACTGCAGAGACAACATCATTTAAAAGAGATGCTATCAAGATGTTTTGTTTTTAACATTTAAATATCTGAGTGAACGGCTAACATTGAGAAAAGTACCATTGCACAAAGAGGACACTATTCAGTTTTAAAAAATCTGAGCAGAAACGTTCAGAAGGCTGAGACGAATGCCACAGTTCATGTCTCTTCTCTGTGGCACAGAAACACAAAGCATATACATGCTCAGTGTAATGCCACACAGTTCCCGCTTTTGGAGCATGCTCTCAGCAAGAGACTGCTGGTGGCACAAAGAGCATGCGCCATTAAACTTGATCCATTTTCTTATCAAACGTCCAGCATTCCAGCACTGAAACAGTACCATTCCAGTGGTGGTAACTAGAGAAACCAGTATACAGTAAGGGGAAGCGGGCAAAAGACTCTGTGTGTTGTACACAAATCCTGGACAGAAGCTTCTGTAACTTTCAGCTCTTCGGGCTTCCCTCCCACCACCCCCAAACTCTGTAAAATAAAAGTTTGTAAAGTTGAGAACAAAAATTACATTTCTGTTCTTCCGGCAGCTCCACTGTAGGTTTTGAAGCCCCACAGAGTCAGTTAATTTGTTAACTGATCACATGAGTGTGGCAATTATTCTAAACCCCTTAAAAATCAATCTGAGGTGTACAATGAAAAATGGCAACTTGGCACAAACTTTGCATTCTTTGTGTTTCTGCATGCTGTGGCAGAGTGACATTACGAGTGCACTGCTGGTCAAATGCTGCTTTTGTGAGAGCCGTGCAATTTATTTACAGTTCCAAAATATCCCTTTCTGTCATCTGGCTTCACCTGCAAGTTCTTATCTTCTGCCTAGCAGCGATATGGATTGCATTAAGGAGGTAATGCTTAGTTGTCGTCTACAAGTACATCTTATAGCAATTAAATTAATAATTTTGTCTGCTTAAAGTATCATCCTACACATCCATGTTAATATTTAAATAGGCCTTTCCCAAAAACTAATGCCTTTTTTTCCGTGAGTAAATCCACTGTTCAAAACAGCGTGATCTGCTTATCAAACATTACTGTATTTTGGTTTGGAAGGGAGACCTTAGGGGAGGTATCTTTCTTCCTGTGTGCAGGCACATTTAGTTTTAAATATCATGCAGATTGCTCATTATACTGAGTGATATGGTGCAATCAAACTAAAAGTGAACCTTTTTTATACAGTTATATTCAAGAATACAATTAACAAACTAATATTTTAGCTATGCTGCTAGACAAGGAATGAATTATGTTTAATCAATAGGCTGATTAACTCCATTAGGTAAAAATGATGAAAGTATATCTAATGGTCTCAATTATACAGAGTTCAGATTGCCATTCTAGAAGCTTCAGGCCAAGAATTTAGTATTTAAATCTTCAGATTTCAAACAAACTTCAAAATTTCCTGAATGGTAAAAAAACCCCACTAGATCTAGTTACCTCTCTTCCCTAACTGTCCTCAAATCCAACAGAAAGTAACAGAAAGGTTGCAAGCAGTTTACCCATGACCATGTTACCTTCACAGTAAAAAAGAAAAGGAAAAAAAAAAGAAAAAAAAAAAGAAAAAAAAAAAGGGGAGAGAGAGGAAGAATATCGGAAGATAATTCAGGACATAAACAATCGCATTACAGTATGATGCTTGAGAAAGAGCCACAAAGGCAATAATTAAAATGATAAGTAGTTTCCAGCAGAGATTTGAACAATTCTTATACTATATTGGCACATAAAACTGGGCTGTGGAAAGAGTTAAACCACAATCTGCTCTTTGTGTGGGAAGGCAATACTCCTCTGAGTAACCACAGCCCATGATAAGACTTCCCTATCTTCATACACTTTCTGATGCCATGCTTTTTTTCCCCCTCAATTATACCTCCTAAAGAAAGTTTATATTTTTCTTCTACAAAAATCATGTTAATCAAAGCACTGAAATAAAATTAAAAAATAACATAAGCATAAAGACTGCACAGTGTCAAATCCTTACAATTCATTTTAGACTGAATAAAAATGATTTACTACATATTTTGAAAATTCTAACAGCTGAGGCTAAAGGTGGGGGCAAAGGCAGGGGACTGAAGAGATTTGAGAGAAGTTAATTTTTGGCCCAATACAACAATTTCCTCTCCATCTAAACAGATTTCAGCATTTACAACTTCATATGGTAACAAAATTAACGTGGAAATATTGTGCGCTACTAGAATACTGCGCATCTAGTTTTCATTTTTTAAGAAGAACATCACAAACTATTTTGGAATGGTTATGCCTTCAGGTAATGTGCAGAGTATTACCAATAATAACTTACAGCATTTTACATCCATGAAAATTTTATAGATGAAAATTCCACTTTTTAAATGTCAATCTGTGAACGCTTCCTTTTCAAAGAGTGGAAAAAAAAAAATCATCTTTAAAAAACTGTATTCAGGCTTTTCTTTCATAGTATCATTAAGTCCTAAAGATATAAATACTTGTGAAAGTGTGTGAAGGAGAAACACAGCAAGAACATCCTGTTCTAAAGCAATATTATCAGATATCTTTGGGAGATTCATTGTGCATCTGGAGTCCTTTCGAATGAAACATTACAAGAAGAAGTGCCCATAAAAATGATCCTAAATGGAGATTTGCAATTAATCACACACATTCTCCACTAACCTCCTAAAAAGCTATCTACAGAATTTGATTTTTCTTTCCCTTAATATTCATACAGGCAGCACTGGTTTTTTTTTTTTTTTTTTTTTTTTTTTAATGTGGCACTTACCCATGTGCCACAGTTGCTATTGCAATAAACTGATTTATGGAGGTAAGATTTTCAAATGTCATATCAAATGGCTCAGGTGAACCATTGTGCACTGGCAATTTACATTATAATCGAAGTTATTATACAATATCTATGTAGCTTGTAAATAGAGGAAAAAATACCAGCCATCTAATGCTGATAGATAGGCCAGGTTTTCTGTTTGGAAAAGGTAAAGGGAAAACGCAGCACACTTGTCCTGTCTTTATAAACTTCGTATCAATTCATGCAAGTTTGAACTGAGGAACGTACAATGAACACACCAGGCAGAGGTCTAAAAATTTTACACAGAAAACTTCATGTACTCAATTTCTCTGCATGGATTTTCTCTGTGCCTAATGAAAAAACATACTCTGGGAGGAAAAGAAAATTACTACATATTCTCCATTTCCCAGACCACCATAACACAAAAATAAACCACAGAAAAAATACCATGAGAGACCAAGCACTTGAAGGCATGTGGTAGCTGCATCCTATCATGCCTCTGCAAAAGAAATAAATGCAGTTAACGCTCATTCCAAAACAGGAGGAAAGAGACATATGGGAAGGACAGGAAAGGGCTCCCAAAAAGTAAATCACATTTGGGAAGTCTTCATTCTTCTTTGGAGTTACTCTACACCCACCAAACTTTTATTGAAAGACTGATGGGTAACATTTGAATTGCCAAGGTTTGTCTTAAAGCTGTACTTTGGATTTTAGACTTGCTTCTAAAAGGTGCTCCAGCCTTGTCTCGGCACAAACTGAACTACTGCTCCCACAAGGAGCTTGGTCCAAACAGGTGTTCTGTGTTTAGAACTTTCACCAAAATATTTTCTTCTGAGCATACACTACCACAGTCAACATGAATCACAAGAGTCCTAGAGACGGAGAACACAATACAGAGAACAATTTTGGCAGTACTACTTTAACTCAGTTGCAACTCAAAATAAAATTAATCCGTCTTTTGCTTTAAACAAATAAATAACACAAAATATAAATTCTCATTGCCAGTGTAATCTTAATTTTTAATTTATGGAGAGGAAGGATTATTTTTAAAATGCCTTTATCCTTCCAAATAGGTAGAGAAAGATTCCAAATTAAAATCAATTTACTGCAACTGAGTTCCATGCATGTATCACTAAATGGGAACTGTCTCTGCATGGCAGAGGGTCCAGCGTGACTGTAAAATATTATGGAGAAGTTATCAACACATGAAAGCCAGGAATTGCTTTCTTGTATTTGCAGCTGTAGATAGTACTATGTTGTGTTTTTTTACACACCTGAGTGTGGCATTTTAATACAGATTTGTAAAGAATGAGGAGATCTATTACATCTGTGACTCTAAAAAGCAAACAGATCAAACACCTGGTAAAAAAAAAAGTCATTACAGCGGGAAACAACAAAATTAACTACCCCTTGTAATAGAGGTGTTGGTGAAAATGTGCGTGTTTCCAATGTAAAACCGCTTTCTCAAGTTGTACTCTCAGGTTTATACTCTGGTGCAGAGGTCTTATTGCCTGACAATAATTTCACAGGATGGACAGCCCACACAGAATTAATTTTTACTAATTGCAGATTCCACCATAAGTAATTATTGCTACGTGTGTACCTGTAAGCATGTGCGTATCTGTTACACAAAACTTCCCTACACGCATTCGTCTCTCATCTGAAGAAGAACTATCTCAACAGTACTCTTTTCCAGCTTTGCTCCACTGCGACTCACGTTTACTTGCTGAAAATATCCATATCTAAGTCAATCACACTTAGATGCCAAACAAAATATAAACAATAAAAAATGTGTCAGCCAAAAAGCTACAGGACTGTATCCAATCACCGAATAAGCCTTATCATTGTTTCCATCTTCATTCACAATTTATGAATACTTCAGTCCCTTTGAATTACAGGGCTTTCTAATTGTGGCGTAACTTAAATCATATTTATTTGTTCACGGTGCAACCCCAAGTGCCTCGCTGGCCGCGGAACGGCCGCGTCGCGGGAGACGTTACTTTAGCACATTTTCTGCTTCTCGAGCTGTTTGTCGCACCAATGTGGAAGCAAGCAGTTATCGCTTAATCAGTTTACATCACATCCTCCTAAGACAGACTTTCACAAAAGCTTCTGAAAACTCTCCCCCGGCTTTCCAAACTGGGTTTACCCTCTGGAACAGGCTCCGCCGCCCCGCCGCTCGCTCCCCGCTACTGTCCGCCCGGCGAGGACGCGCCTGGGGCACCCGGGGAACTTCCCAAGCCTGCTCACTAAACCCCTCAGGTCCCAAAACCCGCATTGGGCCGCGGCGGGGACCCTCGCTTGGGCTGGTCCCGCGCCCCGCCGCCGCCCGCTCCGCGGCTTTCCCCCGCGCCCCCGGCGCCACCCGCCGTCGAGGCTTAAGAAGCGGCTGCAAGTGCGGCTGTAAGGAACGGCGAGATCCTTCCCCTGGCTCGGCAGGACGCACGCCCGTCCGCGCCCCGCAGTTTATCGGGGAGGGGGGAAATGCCATGCCCCCGCACAAGGGAGCCAGAGAGTCCCGCACAGCGCGGCCAGCCCCGCTCGCATCGCCCCCGATGCTGCCAGGCTGCGTGGTATTAATTAAATATAGGACGGGATTACTTCGCACCGGCGAGCGCCCGCTTTTTTGTCAAAACCAGCACTTTTCCTTTCAAACCCTTTCATTACACTCTGCGTAAACGGGCGAGCTGAAAAGAGAGCGAACCATTTGATTCCCATCAAATCAATACTTCCCAAACCTGCTTTTGA